TCACACAGCTTTTCAGCAACCCTCTTTTGCATCCTCTCTCTCTCTCTCTCTCTCTATCTGTCTCTCTGTCTCGCTCTCTCTCGTGCCCACACTCGCTCTCTATGTCGCTGTATGCATGGGCGTGTGCCAGTGACACGTTGATAAATGACACTTGCAGCGTCAATGTGAATTTTATAAATTCTCGTAACTGCGCACAGAAAGCGTCAGACATCGTTGCCAGCTCCAAAAAGTTGCTTAGCATGACCAAAACAAAACGCTGACGCCAGCGCCTGGCAGCGACTGCGACAGAGCAACAGAGCTTTTTGTCGTTGCCTTCATCGTTGTCGTTGCTGTCGTTGGTGTTGCCATCGTTGCCGTCGTTGCCGTTGCGGCAGTTGCTTATTTTTTATGACACTTTTGCGGCTTATCAACGTCACTGCAAACACATGCACTTGAATCCTTGCCGCTTGCCGCACTTATATCTCGCCAACCACGGCCCAAACGGCCCTCACATCGCTGGCCATCCGTCGCCCTTAGCCGCATTATTTACATTGTCAACAAGATGTCGAGTGGTTTCTCACACCTCTCTCATAGTGTTTCTTGCTTCTTCTTTTTCCACCGACGGTATATGGGCACATTTATATATACATATATAGCAATGTCCATCTGTCCGTGTCTTCGACAGTTGTGGAAAGACAATAACGAGAGACTTCAAACGTGGAATATATTCTTCGTTATGTCAGCGAGCATGCAAACTAACTAAGACTCAATATATACAGCTTGTAACCATGATTCTCAATTATTTTTTTCAAAATGACGTATTTTCAACTTTTGATGCAAAAACAAAAAAAAAATTAAAACGCGAATTTTTCAATTTCCTCTGCTATTTGCTTTGCCAAGAAACATAAAAAATACCAAGCGTGATGTCATCAGGCACCCACCTGAGCAAGCCTGAGCAATAGTGTACACTCCATTCACCACAAGGCGTACACACACACACACACACAGACAGACACACACACCTGCTTAACTTAATGTATAGATAGCTGTTTAATGGCAGCTGCACGCAACAAAAGTTGCAGTCAAACTTTGCCTGAGGTTGCATGCGGGTAAACCATGTAGCCAGTTCCTTTTTGCCAACTACAACAAAGTTACATTAAAGTTTTTTTTCGGGTTTACTGTCAAGGTGGAACAGCAACAGAGTGAGAAGTGAGAAGTGAGAAGAGAGAAGAGTAGAAAGAAGAGAAGATACTCGAACAGAAGCCAGTCGATTACCAATCATGCTCAACGCTCAATTTAAGCTCATTCAATGACATCACCACTAAACGGCACCACTTGAAAACAGTGCGAGGTGATCGAATTCAATTCACTTCAGTTATGGCCTACATGGAGTTGCCAGTGCCTTAGCAAACTAAGCAATTGATGTGCAGCGAGCGTTTTGACAAAGAAAAAACAAATGCTTAAATGCTAAGCATTAGTCTAAGTTTACCCACATTATCGTCTTATATAAGGCTATAATGGTCCCTTTAAGAATTTGACTGATCTGGCAATCTAACCATTCTTTCGACCTCCGAAATAACACAAAACGCAGTTCGCAATCTGACTCCGATGATACCTAATATCGACATACAAGAAATACACGATAAGATATAACGAAAGAAAGTAAAACAAAAAAACAATATTCAACAAGCGATCAACCGATTAAAATGCATGTTCTATTTATTTTGCCAAACGTATCTTTTATATGCATTGGAATGTTCTTGTCTTTTATTGCTATCGGTAATTGATTTGTTTCCATTTTTGTGCAACTGGCGAAGTCGCTGAGATCCATTTATTTCTACATTTAATCTGAATTTTTATACACTGTTGCATACTTTTGCACAACATCAGTGTACCCCATTTCAGCGTATTTAATGGGTTCAGGGTATAAAAACCTGAAGAGCACTTCAACAAGGAAAACTAAAAGTTATGAAAACCATTGATTTACATAGCTGTTAAACATGTCACAGAGGAAAAATACTCATCGCCTGCCTGTCTCTCTATCTCTTTCTCCATCTATCCTCTGTCTTTGTCTCTGCGCTGCAGTGTGACAGCTAAGAAATGCAACTTGAAAGTTGAGTGAAAACTTCAATGCGCCATCGAGCGGAGTGCGCAGAGATTAAGTCAAATACTTGACAAGTCGCAGGTAACAAGTATAAACTTATAAAGTCATAAGTGTGCTTGTGTGTGTATGTGTGTGCTTATATGCGTATGGTTGTGTGTGTCTGTGTGTGTGTGTGTGTGTGTGTTGGTCTTTTGCAAAATTGCCGAAAAGTTTTCAAATTATTTTTGGTTATATAATTGGAATTGATAACTTTGGGCACAACGACGCGCGAGACGTACCAGCAAAAGGATCCCACAGTGCCAACTCTAACGAGTGCCTAACACACCCACGCACACGCACACACACACACACACACACACACACACACTCCCACACCCACACACACAAACTGCACTTGCATTTGTCAATAACAAGCAATTTAACAATTTGGTACACAGACACACAAAAGCGAAATTCTTTCAAAGTTATCATTCAAACTTGAAAATCAATAAAACTTTTGATACAACAGGCTGAAAAATAAAATATTCCCAACCCGCCGCTTCTCCGTCACCTTAACAAACCCAAATACACGCCCATGCTGCATGCCCCAGCCCCTTTCGCACCTACCCACCGGATGGTTCACACGTGATATAACATTCGTATGAGGCAAAGGACAACCAAGACGAATCACATTTTCAAACATGAACCAAAATTAGGGCCACCCTTTTAATTTAACATACATATCTACATATATTTTATATTTGTATATACATATATGTAAACCTTTTTGCTTTATTTTATTTTATTTTTTTTTTGTTTCTTTCTTTTTTATCGACTGCCATAACCCACTTAACTTTGTCTATCTGCCTTCGACTTTGACGGCGATGTCGACGATGCTAAAGAAAGTTAATTAAGAAAGTTTGATTTCTTATGGCTAAATAACGCTCGAAAGTTTTACTGACTGACAAATATCGAGGAATACTGAAAATAAAAATAAAACAAATAATAAATCAGTTGATGAGACTGTCCAACCAATAAATACCCCGTAACAAACAAATTGTATGTACATGACAAATATTACTATAATATAATTTATAAGTAATTAGTTGATAAAGTTGATTTGTGAGTTTGCAGGAATATTTTAAATGACAGACGCATAATTAAACATGTACGAGTACATTTGCATACATTTATTGAATGTCATTTATATGTATATTAGATATTTTCAATTTCATAATACCCATTTTGAAACATCCAAAATATGCGTTAGAGGGTATAAAAATGATGAAGTTGAGCCTTCCACGGCACACCCACAACGATTGTGATAAGCAAACCGAATGGCTGATTGCTCAAAGGGGTTGCCGCGATTTCCTTAACGACTGATGGTTAGTCGTTGGGTATTGGGGATGGTGGCTGTGGGTGGTGCTGGATCTGGTAGGTGGTAAGGTGGTAAGGTGGCAACACTGCGAATGAGCAATAAAAAGTTTTGCGCGGCCTTTTGTCTGCATCGGTTAAAACAAATCAACAAATATTTGCTTAACATTTATATTTATATGCATTTTATATGACGATTACGAGTAGGATATTTATGAAGTGCAAAGATCCCTTCGATTTCTCATCTTTCGATGTCGTCAAATAAAGTTTGTTTTGCCATTATTTAAAAGGGCATATAAAAACACAACGGAAACCTGCTATCCGAATAGCTGGTTAGACAGATGATTTGCTCTGTAAATAAATTAAAAGAGTGAAACTTGTCGTTTTATTTGAACGAGGGTACAAGTTTTCTCAGCCAAATTGTACCAAACCCTTCAGGCTACAAACTAAATTCGTTGTAATGCAATGTTATTTTTAGTTTTGCGTAAATCCACAATCGTAAGCAAGTATATCAGTTTTCGTTGAGTGTATTTTTGTTCTTTTTTTTTGATGTGGCGAACACGTTTCAGCATAGGATAGCCCCTCTAAAGCAGCCTATGCTAATTGGCCCAGCCAGCTGCAAGCAAGCGTCGGCACTGACATCATTCTGTGTTGCTGTTGCTGTTGCTGTTGTTCCTGTTGTTGGCTGTGACGATGTTGCTGGACAGACATTGGCCATTGTAGAAGATGTGGGGCGCATTAAAGGCGCTAAACAATTTAATGACTTCCTGCTAGTTAGGCACTGTACACAGTCACTCTAGTACTCACTTACAATGTCTGCACACAAATACACACACACACACACACACACACAGTACTGTGTGCCAACAAGAGGAACAATAATAAGACAGCTGTGCGAATGAGTGTTTCCCTTGGTCGACGGCCGCACAAAATGACAACAGGCGTCATTATGCCAGCGCAATGATACCCCAAAAAAAAAAAAAGTAATAATAATAATAAAAATAAAATAAATAAAAAAAAGATAATAGGCTTAAGCTTTGTGGTTGCAACTATTTTTACTGTTACTCACTGTCGCATACTCTGTCTAATCGGTTAAAATAGCTAAACCAAATCGAAATTAGTTAATTCTGATTTGAAATGTATGCTCTTTTGCATCGTATATCTTTTAAACTACATGTGTACATATAAAGTCCTTAAATCGAACTTCTGTTTCTTTCGGATATGTTTAAAGCGATTTTATAGGCTCTTCAAATATTTAACAATCTCACGCAAAAGCTTTCCCATGAGGGACTCGGTGCTAAAATGTGCACTTAATGCGATGGTCGCAGTATTCTCTCTCTCTCTTTCTCTCTCTGTATATATATGTATATTTCACTCTGTATCTCTCTCTCTCTCTTTTGCTCTCACTTCTTGCCTCTCTCTATGTATGGACGATGGACAATACCTACACGTTTTGCCTTTACGGACAAAGTATTCAAATTGAGAGAAAAACAAAATTTATGCCGCACTTACTCACAGTTGGAGACTGTGTGCGTAGAAGCAAAGATCGTAGAGTGTTCAGCAAGTACATCAAATTTTAATGTAAATTACCATTCTATAATTGCTCATACTTGGCCACATTTACATTTATTAAGAGACGACACTTTTGGCGAGCAGTTGCCAAAGTGCTTAGTGTGCGTTGATTATCCTCGTCCCTTCGTATTATATGAGCTCCTTTCTAATGTTGTTGCTGTTGCTGTTGTTGTTGTCGTTGTCGTTGTTGTTGTTCTACTTCTTCTGCGTGTCATCTCCTTCCGCTTGATATTGTTGTGCAGCTGGTTTTGCCTTTTTTAAAAATTATATTTCAGTCACCTCCCAGCAACCGTTAAATGTCGGAGTGCATACTAAACACTTTCCTTGAGAACGGCTTTTGATCAGGTTCGAATAACGCCGATAGGTCGCGATAAGATCGTGTAACATCGGCTTCTAATAGATTTGGTTAGAAGCTATCCGCAATGACTCCAAATCTATATTTTATTTTACTTACAACAAGCGTGTTTTCTTTCCAGTCCAAATTCAATTTCAGATCGGATTTGTAAACGTTCATAATTCTCTTTAACATTTTGATCAAATACCTAATGCGCTGCTTTATTACGAATAAGGGTGCTCTTCGCTGCCAAGAATACCGAAAAAACTTCAATAGCCTAATTCGTCTCTAATGGGTGAGATTATGAGCAAGCTGTATTGACTCCAAATCTATATTTAATTTTACTTACATGCTTGTTTTCTTTCCAATCCAAATTCAAGTTCAGATCGGATTTGTAAACGTTTATAGTTTCCTTTAACACTTTGAGCAAATACAACATGCGCTGATTTATCACGAATAAGGATGCTTTTTGCTGCCAAGAATGCCGAAAAAAACTTCAATGGACTAATTCGTCTCTTATGGGTCAGATTATGAGCAAGCTGTATTGACTCCAAATCTATATTTAATTTTACTTACAATTTGGCGATCGCTCATATTAAAAGTTCTCTTCGGATTGCCAATAGTAAGTAGTCAAAATTCCAGTTTCCCAATTTATGCACAGTCATACAGCCACTGACAGAACAGTGAGTGACCTACTCTTAGTATTTTATAAATATTTGACAGGGGTTTCTCCGATAACAAAATACTGTTTGAATTACATTGAAAATACTAAGCTCCACACTTCTTTACATAATGACAAGTAAAATTTGTGAAGTTAAGTGAGCTCGACTGTGGCATACCCTGTACCCAGTTCTTAAATATATTATTATAGTCTATTTGTTATATTTCCTCAAATCTAACCAGGTGTGCGATTGCTCTCATTTCTTACGGCCAGCACATGCACTGAAAAGAACGATGGCATCTCATGTTTTTAAGTCCGAACCAAAATCACCGGCTTGCCATTATCACGCGCTTACACATACATATATATGTGTGTATGTATCTACGGGATCGTAGATTTTGGGGCGCTGCAGAATATTTATCGATTATCGTGCCATCCCTTTCTCACACATGTTCGCCCATAATTTTGCATAGACAAAATGCTTGCATCTGCTGAATTGATATGAGATCAATATGATAATAAGTTTTGGGTGTTTCTTATCCGATCTTTATAATAATTGATATAAAATTAATCTGCGTGTTTGTATGGGATAACGTATATTCCAAGTTTCACGGAAGTGGTTACATCGGGCCGACTACTTTATGGGGTCGGATGCTTTTTTTTCCTTTTGACTGTTACATAAATTTGCAGAAAACCCTTATATCCTTTTTACTTCGGGGTACAAAAATAATGATGGAAGTTTGTTTGAATAATATATTAAAAAATAACAGATTAATATCCTTTCAGAATGAAACCCTGTATCAAAAAAAAAAAAGTGCAAATCCATTGGCCGCAAATTTGTACCGCTTACACTGTTTTTATATTCCATTTTTTTTGTCCTCGGCAATTTGAATACATCTGTCGGGCGTCAGTTTTGCGGCATATTTTATGGCATTTAATTTTATAAAATGAAACACAAATGCAAACGACAAACGACAAACGACAGGCGAGAGGCGACAGGCGACAAGACCCTAAGACGGCACACAGTTACACAGCAAGAGCTATACAACAGGATTGGGTGATGGGAGTAGAGAATTGGGAGTTGGGACACTGGGACACTGGGAGAACCGAATAGAACAATCCAGCAACAAATACGTCAAGTGCTTGCTATGACCATCGTACATTTTGCTATATAAAGTGGTGACATGGCGACTGCTCACAAACAGCTCACAACATTTTTGACAGCCGAATTTGTACTGAAATCCACACTGTTAATTCACTGTTAACTTGTGTGGAGCTCGAGTTTTTTTTGTGCGCTTGAAATAAATAACTGCAATATATCTTTGGACGATCTCTGCTGACAAAATATTCATACACTCTGCGAAATTGAATTAAAGGCGCAACTTTTCTCCTTATAAAATTGAAAATATAATTTTTTCAAAAATTCTATGTTACGCATTTGTTAATTTCATCGTTTATAAAGTAATTAAATTTAAGACATTAGTCAAAAACTTTGTATGCCAAAAATGTTGCGAGATGTTTTACAGCTTTTTATTTATTTATTTCTTTCTAAGGAGTTTCCATCTAAGAACTTAGCTATAGCCATAAAGGTTTGCTTCGCTTTAGAGAGCGATCGATAAGCGCTTCCCAACGCGGAAAGTCTGTTCAAAGCTTTCGTAGGAGACAGTGGACGTGGCCCTGACAATGGGCAAAATAAAGCCAAGAACAAAACGATGACAGAACAAATTCATTGACGCAGCATATAATGGCTGCGGCATTTATGGAAGCGGCATTTATCCTAAGCAGAGATTAATGTCGTTACATGCTCAAAAATTGACATGCGTTTTTAATTTGCTCAAAACATAAGTCAACAACATTTTTGCCTGTCTGTGTGGCGTTGTTATGGTAATGAATCAAATCAATAAAACGAATGCTTTTTCAAGTATCTTTCCACATATTCGCTGCCATTTCCTAGCCAATTTGCGCTGTAGAGCTGGTTAACATGTGTTAATTCTTTAAACTCTTACAGATATATTCTTTTAAAGTTCAATAAACATATTTACAAATTATGTATAATAGTTATGTGACAAGCTGGTGGCAATCGGCCACAAGTGAAACGATTCAGTTTGGAGACATGATTTTTTTTTAAATGTTCGATAAATGAAATAAAGTGCGAACAGGTGCTGAGAATCTTAATCGGAAATGTGGTGAGAATCGCTGGGCGGTGAGCAGTAAGCGGTGGGCTGTGAAACATGCCACACGCTGTGAAAGTGGCGAAAGTGCCTCTAGTTTGTTGTCGGTTGTCGGTTACCCGCTTCGCATTTTTAAAACTTTCAGCTAAGAATTTTGGAAACAGACTTATTTAGAAGCTCAACCTGGCCATGATTCAAGTAAAACTTTATGCAATAATGGCTCTCGACGAGAGCCTGAAACATTGGCCAGCCAAGTGGCAATAGATAGATAGTTATCCCGTTGAGCACGTTATTGCTAACATATGTTACCAAATGTTTTGAAAAAGGAGGAAAAAAAATAGCATATCTCCAGGACACAACTGCAAAAACCGGCCAATAGCACAGCATGAAACTATGCAATCTTTGGCGTGTTAGGTGTATTGCAGTAATCCGCACTCTAACCGGAGACTGGCTCCCACGCCAACAGACTTCGGGCAAATTCAACTTCAAATCACTATTTCGGCTCTCGCCTAGCACCTGCCGGAAACAGATTAAATACCATGCGAAGTACATCTCCAATCGACTTATCTCAGTTAGTTATTGCACAATGTCTGAGTGGGTCCTATGAGTGGGGCCTCTTTTGATCATGTGCCGCAACACAGAGAGCATGTAACGGATCAAATATGGCAGATGTGTTTTGAGCATTCAAAAGTCGTCTTAATCTTACCGAATCCAAACCTACAGATGCAGTAGCAGACGGATAGCAACAGTTGCGATGCATGCAATTTTGCAACAACTGCAACAAATCATTTGTTTTTTGTTGTGCAAGCGGCGTTAGCACGCCTACTACCAGCCCCTTCCCCAAACCGCCTACCTGTCTATTGAACAATGTTCTGTCCGCTTACCTACCTCGACCTGCCACGTTGTGGATGAAGCAGCGCGCTTAATTTATGTTTGCCTTCCCTCCTTTAACTTATAATAAAATTTCATGTTGTACGATTACTTCAACAAGATATATGTTTGTAACAATATACATACATATATACAACAAACATATGTCTATCGGGTGTATCATATAAACCAGCTAACCAGCTCGTCCTGTCTGGGTGTGGATGTGGGCGTGGGCGTGGCATATAGCTTTTTCGAGAATTGTATGCCGTTGTAGATTTCAATCATTTATTCGAAGAAGTATGTAGCATTTCCAATTGTAAGGCCGATTGTTCCTCTGCTGGACAATAAATTTAAGCTTGCAGTACTTCTAATAGACATTTCGACTAATAAGTTAATTTTACATCAATATTTTGTTCATTTTCATAAATGTGTCGACGATGTTATCTATTTATTTATTTCCTAAATATTATAACAAATATAAATGTGAATAAGAAAATCTTGTTTTTGCAAATTAAATGAGAATAGATACATTTTTTTCTGTGTCCAAATGCTTTCTTGACATACTGTATTTAATCTTCAATGTGCCTAAGATATCTGTGTTTTTATTTATTTATTATTTTTTTCTTTTTCGTTATATCGCCAATAACTGATTTTATTTTATATAAATTCAGATATTATGTTGTATATTGTATTATAGTGGATGGCTTAGCGACATACATACATCGGAAAGTATTTCTTCTCCTTCCTTCTTCTTCTTCTTTCTTCCACCGCTGGCTGTACCCAAGTGATACTGATACTGATACTCCTTACGGACTCGATTATTTGCTCGCAATAGTATCGCGGCAATGGCAACAAGGCTGCCAGACAGCTTTGACCGCTTCTTGTTTGTTTTTTTTTCCTATTTAAAATAAAATGTAGTCCTCCTTCACCCTCTAACTAATGTACAAATAAATAGTTTTTAAACACAATTTCAATATTAGGCATTCCATTCATGACCGTACTTTATTTTAATTTGTATATATTATATAAGTATATTGTAGTCCTCCTTCACCCCACAACTAATGTTAAAATAATAATACAATTTCATCAATAACCGCGCTTATTTATTGTAGGATGCTAATCATAAATTATTAAGAGCTTAACATTGTCATAAATATATCCCAGTTGCGCTAGCGTAAAAACTAATTTAGTTCAAACAATTTAATGAGATGAAACAAGCTTAATATCGTTTTACATTAAATTTTTTTGCTTTGGTCACACTGAAAAAAGGCATCCTAATAGCAATCATGTTAGCGCTTATTTCTGTACTGATGCAATCAGTAGGCATGTCAAAGATAGCAGCCTGCTGAAAATCTGCACAGCCAGCAATTCAAGCAGCTCCAACAAAGCAGCTTTGGGTGGCTGGTGGTCGATTTGCGACTTGTCTGGCTTGCCGGTCAGAAGGAAGCAGTTTGCCAAACAATTGCAAATCAAAATATTGCACTTACTCTCAAATGAGCTCACAAAGCGTCAAGAAGCGCAAAACAAATTGTGCGAAAGAGCCAAAAGCCAAATGCAAAGACCAAGAGAGAGAGAGAGAGATGAACATCAGGCGTATAAAGGACAGAGGCAAATGTCCTTTTCGATGTCATTACGAACGTATCCAATCATTTGAGTCGCAGTTGGCAAACATAACACATAGATGACCACTTTTATACTGAGGACACTTGCACGACTTGTGTCGTTTGCAAGGTGCAGCATTCGGTCGCAAGTTGTAGTGCAGTGCTGCACAACTGCAAACTGTTGTGCTGGCCTTAACAATGACATCACTTGGCTCTAACTGTGGGCATAAGTAATGCAAGATCCGAACTGTGTTCCTGGTTATGGTTGTTGTTGTCCTTTGTTTTTTGTTTTTTTGTTGTTTTGTTGTTTTTGTTGCAACGTCTACGTTAACAAAAGGTCGAATTGCTTTAAGCAGCGCCAGTACCAACAAATAGTTTATATCTAAATGTGG